ATGTACCACTTGGATTGCAATCAGAAAAATCTGGACTGTGGAAAACGCTATTGGACAAATGACCAGGTTTCTTCAGTAAATAAATTGCATAGAGAAAGAAGAGAAACATTGTTCTAGCACCATACCCCGTTAGTGTCCTTCAGCTTTCTTGGAGTCTCCAAATTTGGAGACTCACCAGTTGGCTCTTTAGAGTAAGGGTCTTAGTCTCTCTTTGTTGGGGAGGGGGTGAAATGGATGGAAGGATTGCTGTGTAGGATGGGATAGAATCCCTGGATTACAATCTCTCAATTTAGACAATTTCAACTGCCCCCCCCCCCCACCTTATACCTCATCTTCACATTCCACAATACCCAACATCCCAACTTCTAAGCCCTTCTGGGGGCTGGGATCAGTTTGCTTCTCTGCCATATTTTCCTCTGTAAACTGTTCTGTTCTGTTCTGCCTAGTCAATTATGACTATCCATCCACTTTCCATCTCCCTAAAATATGTTTAATCTCTTCTCCATTGATGTCTCTTTTGTTCTCTCTGTCATTGTGGACCTATACCTTTTAAAATTCCTCACTCTCCTTTTAGTGGGGTTTTGTGAAGGAGTAGAGATATACATGTATGATCAATCAATCTGCCATGCATAAAGCTTTAAACTAGGACTGTCCCAGAAATTCTAATATGGCAATCTCCAGTAACAGAGTAACTGTATGGTTTTCTGCTACGGGAGAGAGCAGGCAAGACGGCCAGGGCCTGGATAATCTCCTTGCAGACCCAGCAACTTCCTTGGACACCAGCGACAATGGCTGATCATTAAAACATTTTCTGAGCATTAGGTCCACCATTCAGCAGAGAGTTTAGATTTCAAATAACTTGAGAGCTGCCAGACCAGCTTGGAGAATGTAGAGATAACTAGAAGAGAGCTCAGAATCAGCTTCACTGTATGCCAAGGCCCAACAAAGCCCCATGTGTATCCTGATGGGGTATATGTAGAAAAAGTCCGTGTTTCTGCACTTCCAGGACATCTAGCAGCCCAAGATCATGAATCCATTGCAATTAAGCCTCCAGACACATCATTCCCTGAACTACTCTGGCAAAGGCCAGAAAATTGCCAAATCCAGGATAGCTCATCACACAGCAACCCCCTGACACTGTTGACCACTCGCCACCTTTTCTTTCTCCAAACCAGTTCAGGTTACACTGATAAATAACCATCACAGAGGAGCTGACTTTATTTCCCCTTCCTGACCGCAAGCAGCAGTAAACACACACACACACACACACACACACACACACACACACACACACAGAGGTATGCACGCTCTCATGCACTGCCCTCTGTGCTGCCACCTGTATCTCACCTCTTGTGCTTGGAGAATTGGGAAGGAGGCTGGGTATTTAGATTTTCCTGAAGGAATAGTAGTTCACATAAACTGTTTAATAGGGGTTAGGCACTTAGAAGTCCTTTTAATGGACACTGGTTTGCATAAACTGTTTGTATTTAGATTTTTTTAAGGGATGTTAATTACTTAAGCTATCAATAAAGCATTGTTAAATCCTTCCTTGGAGTCAGTGGATCATTTGGCTGTAACTTAGAGTTACCGCCTTGCACCCCCAGGAAGTATGGACAGTAGAGGAAGCTGGCTTGGAGGGCTGGGTCCTACCTCCTCCTGACACTGGTGGTCAGCTCTTGGTTAGCACTTGGTTTCTGTAAGCGATTGTGATAGCAGATGCTGAGGACTGAAAGCTTATGAGCAGGAACCCCAAAGCCCCAAATAGGGCAATGGAAGGGCACTTGCGGAGGCCAGGCTTCTGTGGTCAAAAGTCAAGGCTTTCTCACCAGGCCAGATGACAGACCAGGGGACCTGAGCCGGGGGTTCACCTCCAGTCTGCCCAGGAATGCTGGGCAGCCCACTCTAACTTCTCTCCCTTTCTTTCCCCTTTGTGGTCAGATGGTAGGTAGTCCACTATGGTAGGGATGTGGACATGAAATCCTCTCCTTATTCTGTCATGGAAAATCTAGTCTAGACTCCTGAGATCAGGCCCCAAAGAGACATCTTGGGAAGGTGGTAAAACCAATTCCTAGTGTACCTGTGGCTGGTTGGCAGCAACCTTCAGAGAAGCCCCTGCAGCTGAGCCGTTGCTCCAAGTGCGAGTTATGGGGTTAGCATAAGATATCTTCCCACGGCAGAGGCCAGCTCAACACAGAGAGGGATGAACCAAGTGTCAGGCCTCATCATCAAGCCAGAGAGCCCTAACATCTGATAAGGTATGGGACCCAGGAACTGTGGGCCAACTGTCAGAAGCCAAACCAGGCAGGCAGCACCTACAGAAAAGGCATTGACATCCAAAGCAGCGGTTCCTAAATTTGGCTGCGTGCTGTAAGCACCTGGGGGCTTTAAAAAATCCCAGTACCGGGGCGCCTGGGTGGCTCAGTTGGTTAAGCATCGATTTCAGCTCAGGTCATGACCTCACAGTTTGTGAGTTCAAGTCCCACATCAGGCTCTTTGCTGACAGCTCAGAGCCTGGAGCCTGCTTCAGATTCTGTGTCTCCCTCTCTCTCTGCTCTTCCCTTGCTCATGCTCTGTCTCTCTCTGTCTCTCAAAAATAAATTAACGTTTAAAAAAAATTTTTTTTTAATTCCCAGTGCCCACCTGCACCTCAGACCGATCACGTCAGAATCTCTGAGGTTGGGACCAAGCATCAGTGTTTTTCAAATCTCTCCTGGTGATTCTACTGGGCAGCCAAGGCAGAACTACTGCCAAGAGCCAGGCTAGCTTCATTCCCAACCTGATTTATGCTACCCAGCTTTGTAAGCCAGAGCCCTGGATGGCACCACCGTGGGCCAAGCCTTTGGCCGAGCCCCCCAGAGCTGCTAACTTCCCTTCCTCCTTCATGCAAAAGACAGTGTGCCTGATGCGCCCTGGAGCTGTTTGATGTTGTGACCCTGTGTGTTTCCATCACCTGCAGATCTTCCTCCTCTTCTCTCCATCCCCACCCCCTGCCTTAGTTCAGTTTTCCCCATCACTCACCTGAGCTATTGCAGTGGCCTCCAAACAGGCTCCCCTGACTAACCCATTCTCTGCACCAGGCCAGGTGCAAAGTGGTCTCTCTCTTTTCCCAGGCCTCATCTCCCACCCTTTCCCCACTCATACCCAATGATCCTGCCACCAGGTCCCTCGGTGCTCCATGCTATTTCACACCTCTGTGTCCCCTCCTGAGCTGCCTGGAAAATCCCCATCCTTCAAGCTCCAGGCCAAGGGCAGCTTTCCGAGAAGGCTTTGCAGACCATGCTGAGCCTGATGGGTTTCTAGTGCCTCTGGTGCCACCAGTGCCACCACTGAACCTAGCCTTCACCCCTCCCTGCATGCTTTGCACGGCATCTGTTTCTCTTTCTCTCTGGGACCACTTTACTGCTCCTAGAAGATCTTCACTTGCAGACCTTGGGAACCTAACAAAAAGCCGACTTCCTGAGCTCAGGGTAGGACCCCTGCCCGGGTCCACTTCCTCTCACCCACTTTGAACCACCTCTGCGCCCACTTTCCCCAGGCCCTGACCCGCTGCGCTTGGCAACTTGGTTTCATTTTCTGTGGATGTCAATTGGTAAGTAGGCTCTAGATGGGCTGCTTGTGACCAAGCTGGCAGGTCACTGAGGCTGCTCTAGCCCAGGCCCCAAGATCATGCCACAGAAATCCCATCCAGGACAGGGAATCCTTTGTGATCTCATCTGCTTATTCCTTGAGGCCAGGGACCAAGCCTTATTCAACTTTGGATCTCAAATGCCTAGTACCATGCCTCCAACCAGACCCAGCCTTCTGTAGGTACTCAATAAATGTTAATTGGATGGGTAGTTGGATGAATGGATGGCAGCTTGGCTGGTAAGGGTAAGGACTGAAGGACAGATGGAGCCATAAATGAATGAATGGTGTTTCCTTTCTATTTGCCCTAGTTCCTCCCTTCTGACGGTCAGACCTTTTCTGCTCCCTTATACCTCCCCTCTGGCAGTCAGCTGCAATGGCCCATGGGGGTATACACCCAGGTGCAGCTAGAAAAGGTCAGACCAGAATGTCACAACAGCTCACCAAGGAGGTGTCCCCTTGCCCGAATGCCATTTGCAGTGAAACTGTACCCCAAACCGTCCAGCACCTGACTGCATCCTTTAACCATTCTGTAATTAGGTTAGATGCATCACTCACCATCTTTTCTTGGCTATACAGTGAGCCCTAGAGATCAGAGACTCTGCTTGTCTTACAACCCCTCCTCCCCCAGCTCAGATCTGATGCACAACAAATACTCAAGCCTCCTAGACACAAGAACGGAGGCTTTCCCCTCATTGAGGAAAAGATGGACTTCTTTCATCTAGAAAGTTCCGCCTCTGCAGAGATGGTTTGGCATCTGTTTCTCAATCTGGGATAAATGTTCTGGATCAAGGAGTCCCATTAAAATGCCTCCTAGAGCACTTAGGGAATTATGCTTGGGGAGTCCTTCTTGGCAGCAGATAATAAATCAATCACAGTCCAGTGAAAACGCTGAGTTAGAATGGGATCACTCAGGCCAAGCTAAAAAAGGAACCAGGGATACCCTTTCTCTTGAGGCCAAAACTCAGTCCTTTCTGTAAGACTTAGAATGACCAACCAGTCCAGTTTGCCCAATCCTCTTCCAGATTTAGCACCTAAAGTCCTGCATCCCGAGACCCCTCAGTCTCAGGCACACAAGGCCAGTTGGTCATTCTCACTTGGGTGCTCCTTCTCTCCCCTTGTCAGCAGTTCCCCTGCACAATGCAGGAGCCCCATGTGTGCCTCCATGTTTATGTGGGTGACCCTCACTTCCAAATACCTTCCCGGCTGTTAGACCTGGAAGCCGGCGTGAGTCCACGCCAGTGAAAAGAGCATGGGGCTCCTGTTTTCAACCATAGAGGCTGAATTCTGAACCTTGCTCCCTGTGCTACCCCAGCCCCAGCTCCCAAATACCGGGGAAATCACAAAGAAAGGGAAGGGAAGGGAGGCAAATGTACCTGAAGGAGGGAAACATTGGCAAGGCTGAGTCTGAAGAGGTAGTTCCTGTGAAAACAGAGACAAGAATCATAAATCAAGCTGGTTCTGCAGGCAGGTCCCCAGGAAGCAGCTTCCGGGCTCCAGCTTCATAAGGTGCCAGGACAGGGTGCAGACTGCAGAGGGCCTGTGGTGGGTCAACCCCCTGGGAGAGTTTTATCTCCATTGGCTCTGTTAACCCTCACAGAAACTCCATGAGTGGAGAGGGAAAACTGCATTTACAGATGAGGAAACAGGTTGGCCAAGTCATAGACAGTAAGTGAAGGAGTTGGGATTCACGCCCAGACTTGTCTACTCCTGAAGCCCACACCGTCCCTGCTCCCTGGCTGTCCTGGCAGGTCCAGGGAGCAGCCCCACCACCTTCCTCCCAGCCAGAGAGCCCACTTCTGTTAAACGTGATGCCTCATGGAGCTCCTGCAGGAGCCTAAACACACCATCTCCTTCCTTCCACCCAGACCCACTCCTGTCTGACTCCCCTCCTCAGACAGACCAGCCATCTCTCCTAACACCATGCCTGGGGCCCCCGGAGTCCTGTCTGCCTCCTCATCTCCCGCAGCCCCTGCCTGCGGTGACTCTGGATCTGACCTTCCCACGATCCCCTCCCTGGATCACCCTATCCGCTTTTGCCCCAGTGGCCCCCTCAGCGCCCCCACGATTCCTCTCCTGCGCCCCCCCAGCCCACATGGGGCTGCCAGCCTCATCTGCCTCAAATACTGTTTTCATCACATTAGCCTCCTGCTCAAAAACCTTAAATAAAGAAACGTGTCCACACAAAAACCTGCACATGGATGTTTATAGCAGCATTATTCACAATTGCTCAAACTTGGAAGCAACCAAGAAGCCTTTCAGCAGGTGAATGGATAAATACACTGTGGTGTATCCAGATAATAGAATATTATTCAGAGCAAAAAGGAAATGAGCTATCAAGTCATGAAAAGACATGGAGGAAACTTAGATGCATAATACTAAGTGAAAGAAGCCAATCTGAAAAGGCTACACACTGTATGATTCCAATTATATGACATTTTGGGAAAGGCAAAACTATGGAGACAGTAAGAGATCAGTGGTTGAGGGGAGGGAGGATGAACAGGTGGAGCACAGGATTTTTAGGGCAGTGAACCTCCTCTGTATGATGCTGTAACACTGGATACATGTCATTATACCTTTGTCCGAACTCCCAGAATGTACAACACTAAGAGACCATAATATAAACTATAGATGTGGGGTGATAATGATGTATATGTCAATGCAGTTCTTCAACGACAACAAATGTACCCCTCTTGTGGTGGAGGCTATGGGAGCAGGAGACACATGGGAAACATGTGTACCTTCTTATCAAGTCTGCTGTCAGCCTAGAAATGCTCTAAAAATAATATAGTCGTAATTTTTAAAAAGGCCTTAAATAGCAGTGATAATGATACTACTACCTCAGTTAGTCACCCATCGAGTACTCACAGCGTCAGACACTGAGGAAATTGCTTTGCCTGGACTCTGGAGCCACAAGCCCACTATCACTATGCACAGACTTGGAGGGGGACAGGGCCACAGTCAACACGCCACACAAAAGTGGCTGCAGGCTCACAGAGTAGACCCTGCAGCGGAGGCAGGGATAATCCCAGCTTGGCTACTTTCTGGGGACATTGTGGGGGCCTCAGTGTCTGTGTCTGTAAAATGGAGAAACTAATGCCGTCTTTCTCATTTCACAGGACTGTGGAGACAGGGGATGGTGTGGTGCATGTTAAAAGGCTTTATTAATATCAAACAGCTGTAAAGTCTTGGTTTTCCCTAAGAATTTTTTTTCTCTCCTTCTAACATTTTCTTTTAGCCATTCCTCTTTTGGTTCCTGAGGTTTTTAGGAATAATTGCTTTAGAACATTCTGGCCTACCTCGGCTGTACTGAGAAGAGAATTCAAGGGAAACGCTGTGGAGTGGGCCAGGAGGAGATGGGGGGTGGAGGGGTCCCTGTTGAATGAATCCAGGGGCCTGAAGGAGACACTTCAGCCTGGAGGCTTCTTGTCCCCAGCTCTGGCTCCAGGCCCAGCCGCTGCTTAGCTTCTTTGCCGTTCTGGGGCCGGACAGGCCTCGCCATTGACCTTGGCTGCAGGCCTCTGCTGTCCCTCCCCAGCCCCCTGCCCTGCAGAGCTTCCCCACCCCCTCCCTCCTGGCCTGAGAACAGATGGACTCGGACTCTGCCCCAGCTGTCTGCTCAGGTAACAGAGGCATCTGCTCACAGCTTTAAAAAATTAGGGGAAACATTGCATCACTTTATTAATTTTTATCCCATCAAAAATCGTTTATCACGGCAACGTAGTCTGCTCCTCTGGGAGACTCCCTAGAGAACGGGGGAGAAGAAACTGAGAAACCACTTCATTTGCTGTGAGGGGTGTGAGGCACCATGTCCTACCTGACTGTCCCCTGTCTCTGAGGGCACAGCCAGGCTCAAAACGCCAGGAAAAGGCATGCCTGTTGTGTGGGGAAGCCCCAGAGTGGGTCCGGAACAGCAGCGAGAACACAGGCAGGCGGCTTAACCCTTCTGAGCTTCAGTTTCCTAATCCATACAGTAGGGATAATTACAGAACCCCTCTGCCCGGCGTTCATGTGAAGGTTAGGTGATTTATTACATGCCTGATTTACTATATGCTTTAGATGCTTTACTACATATATGGTACATAAAATAGTGCCTGGCACATGGCTGGCACAGAAAGACCGGCAGTTTTCAAAATGTGTCCACAAGGTTCAGAGCAGAGGCATCAGTGGTATCCTTTTGGGTTTAAAGAAGTACATCTGTGAGACTGGCAGGACCTGAATAAGGGAGAAGGATGGTCTCAATGTCAGCTTCCTAACTGCAATGCACTGTCATTATGCAAGATGTCACCACCGGGGGAAGCTGGGTGAAGGGTATGTGGACTGACTTCCTACAACTGCATGGAAATCCATAATTATCTGAAAATAAAAAGTAAAACCATTACAGCTGACCCTTGAACAACTCCAGTTTGTTCTACACACAGATTTCTTTTCAATACCGTACTGTAAATGTGTTTGCTCTTTCTTATGATTCTCTTAATAACACTTTTTTCCCTAGCTTATTTTGTTGTAAGAACACATTATATCATACATATACAAAATATGTGTTCATCGACCATTTATGTTATCAGTAAGGCTTCCAACCAACAGTAGGCTTTGAGTAGTTAGGCTTGGGGAGCCAAAAGTTATAGGTAGATTTTCAACTGCACGGAAGGGGAGGGAGGTCAGTGCCCTTAACCCCCCATGTTGTTCAAGGGTTAACGGTATTTTATTTGCTGGGAAAAATAAAGCCCATACCCTTGTATATTTGCGTAAGCACAGATTACCTCTGGGAGGACACATTCTCGTCGCAGGATGTGCCTCCAAGAAGGCGTCCTGTTAGGTATGTGTGTGTGTGTCTTTCACTGTATATTCTTTTGTACTTTTTGAATGTTTTACCATGACACATTCATATCACTGATGCAAAATAATTAATTAAAAAAATGCTTTCAGCCCTGGCTTCACAACAGTCCTGAGAGGTTGGCAACACAGAAGACTGGAAGCCAGACTTTACAGATGGTTCAGAGGTCAGTGTCCTAAGAGCAGTGCAGCTCCTCTGGTCTTTGTCCAGAGCTCTGCTTGGCTTGCTTCCTTTTCATAATGTAAATAGGGGGTGGGTACACTCTGGAAAACCTGAAGGTCAAGGTTGGTAAGCCACGCAGGATAGCCTGGGGTTGCCCAACCTAGTGGCCACCCTCCCCCACCTTCAGACCTGCTGAATCTGAACATCTGGGGTGGAGAGCTTCTGAAAAACACCAGTGCAGTCGAAGGTGATAAGGGACTGGCAGAAAAAAACTCTAGCCCAGAGGTAAGGAGACAGGAGTTCTAGCCCCATCCTCTGTTGTCGTCTTGTTCAATGGGATCTTGGGAAGGTCAATTCCCCTCTCCTGTCCCTTGTCTCCTCATGTTGAAATTGAAGGCAGTTAGATTAGACTAGTGATTTTCAAACCTAGGAGTCCTCAGACTCACCTGGAGGGCTTGCTAAAACTCATTGCTGGGCCCCACCCCCAGGGTTTCTGATTCAGCAGGCCTGGGGTGGGGCCAAGAATTTACATTTCTAACAAGTTCCTGGTGCTGTTGGTACCGCTGGTCCAGGGATCACTCTCTGAGACCCACTGGAGTAAACCATCTCTAAGCTCCCTTCTCTACTAGAGCTAAGAGTCTACAATTTTGTAAGGTCTCCACAAGCCCTCCCTAGAGCCAGAATAGTGAGGCTAAACAAGATTAGGCAACAGGGAGGGAAGTGAGGTGCTTCATACAGGAAGGCCATGGCCTGAGTCCAGCATCCCAGGTGCAGGCGGCCAGCCAGCCAGCAGGGGGCTCTTGGGCACCTTCCCTGCATGGAGCTCTCAGGGAGGACTTTGCCTGGGCAGTCCAGGAAGCAGGGTAGGGACGCGGGGTAGAAGGTGGCCAGCAGATGTTCCTGCTCTTGCAAACTACCAGCCACGGAATCTGGGGGTCTAGAGGTCACCCTCCTCCCCGCCTTGCTCCAACTAATGCTTCCTCTTGTGGGAGACAGACATTCAGATACAGAGAGGGCCTGGCAGAGAGGAACATGGGCCCAGGATGAGGGCCTGCCCATAGCGGGCTCATCCCAAATGACATTCCCTCCATCCAGTCCTAAGCACACTACCCCTCGTGGCACCAACCCTCCTGCACCTCGTTACCTGGCTCCCACGATGAGCTGGTTCCTGGAGGGATCCAGAGCAAGCTGGGAGAAGTCTCGGGCTCCAGGGTAGGTGAAGTTGAAGACCCACGGCTTCAGATCTGGTGGAGGGAGAAGCAGGCATTCCAGTTACTGTTGGACCAGCTGTGCCAGCACTGGACCCCACAATGAAAGGGCTAACATCAGCGAGCGGTGAGGCGGAAGCAGTCTTGGCACCCCCTACACCTGGGTTCCACTTGCCCCCTCTGTGAGCAGCCAGCTGGGAGAGATGGGGTGGGGATGTCGCCACTGTTCCTGCTATGTCCGCTATCTCAGAGAAGGGCTCCACCTAACCCCTAGCTGCCCAAAGGGAAAACTGTAATCATCCTTCCCTCCCCTAAACCCTCACCAGCACTTAAAAACACTCAGAAATCTTATCTGTCCCACTTCCAAGAAATCCATCCCTTTTGCCCTCTGTACCCTGCCCCCATCCAAGCTAGTATCATCTCTTGCCTGGCCTGGTGCCAGAAGCATCCTATCTAACCTGGCCTCCACTCCTGCCCCTCTGGTCGGTCCATTTCCTACATAGCAACCAGAGCGATCTTTCTAAAATGCAAATCTGGTTTTGTCGCTCTGCAGCTTAGAACCCTTTAATAGCTCCCAGTTGACCCCAGAAAAAGTCTCAACTCTTATGAAGGCCTTTGGGCTCTGCACTGTCTTCCCAGTTTGGATGCCTAGCACATTAATTATTTAGTGCCACAGAAAGAATCATACTTCATATTTTACATTTCCCCTCAAACTACTGCTCCAGCCATACTAAACTAGAACACTGTGCAGATCTATCCCACCAGAGCCTGCAAACTTTGCCTTTCTGTTCTCCCTCAGTGGAACAGTTCCTGTTCAGCCCCATCCCCACCCTACCTCCTCCAAGAAGCCTTCCCTGACTCCTGAAAGCCTGGGTGAGGCCTCTACTTTACTGCCATCAAAGCCCCCATATTGCTGGGTGTATATCCCCATTGTTTTCCCTGGGGGGTAGGGAAGCCCTTGCTTCTTAGATCTCTAGGCTGTGTCCAGCACCTGGAAGGAATTGAGTAAATGCAGGATCAATCCACAATTCCCATCTGTACAAGAAGAACCAAGTTTTCAAACAAGCTTCCGTGGAGGTGGGAAACAGAAGGTGGGTTTATCCCTGTCTATCCCTGTCTCCAACGAAGGAGCTTCCCAGCCGAGGCCAAAGTCTTCCATGGAGATTGGTGGGCAGAGAGGAGATCTCACAGCCCTCTGGATGGATGGGGCAGTGGTCTGTGGAAGGTACGCCTGGGGATGGTACGTCAGGGTACGCTGACTTTCCCTCTTTCCCTTCCACTGGAGACCCACTTCTCCCGTCCTGGTCCAGAACCCCTTAATAGCACTCCTCAGCCTCTGCCTCATAGATGGGAGGGAACTGACCAATAACGAGAGAGCCAGAGAACCACGGGGCAGAGAACTTTCATGCCAATGGAGAAAAAGATGAGGGGGGAATGTGAGGTCCGGTGCTTTCTCCCCACAGTCTATTAGCAACTGGCTCACAGAAGGCCCAAAGAAGTGCGTGCGTGCATGTGTGTGTGTGTGTGTGTGTGTGTGTGTGTGTAATCCAGGGGAAATAAATCATTGCTCATTATCCCTCCACTACAGAGTAAAAGCAGCCCTTCATTTCTGCACGACAAGCAAACACTTAATCGCTCCCTGGAGAACTTGAGGTTTTGTGAGTTGGATGTTTTTCAGAAAACTGTGATATGCATGATTAAAAAAAAGAAGAAGAAAGAAATTCTACAGCAAAATGTAACAAACCCCTTGGGTCTGCCTCTGTCCTCAGCAGGGGACTATAGGTTAGCAAGAATCACCATGAAGTTGCAATGGCATTTGGGCAATATCGGTATAAGAAGTGGATCAGGAGTCGGGTAAGCTGGATTTTTAGTTGACCTCAGGGCCACACTCAGAAATCCTGGTAGAATAGTATACTACTTTATAGACTAAGCCAAGGACTCTCCTCCAGGAAGACTTCCTGGATCACAATCTCTCCACCCTGATTTTATTTTGCTCCATATTCTCTCTACCTTGTCTATTCTGTTCACAGTGTATTTTTTTGTCACTCTGAATGTGCTCAAGCCTGTTTTCTGTGGTGGGGTTGGGGAAGATATGGAGGGCTTGCCTGTCACCATCAGATGAGTGCTCCCCAACGGTAGCAACTGGGTCACCCTTTAGTTCCTTTTGTCCCCTCCGACAGGGGTCTTCCAGATGTGGGCAGCTGAACAGGGGAAGGGGTGGCATGACTGGTGTGCAGCAAACCAGGAGAAACTCCATGTGGGGACTTCTCAGCTCAGTCTTCACTCAGGCCCTTCCCTGGGGCAGGGAAGGGAAAGGAAGACGAAACAGGGTAGGAGATGTGAAGACAATGGGAGGCAGGGGCAGAGGAAGGAGTGGAGGGTGACGGCCGCTTCCAGTTTCTTGTAACTGACAAGGGCAAGGGGAAAGGGGCGAGGGGGGAGAGAGGCAGGCGGGTGCAGCACGCTGGTCCTGGGGGAGCTGTCTTGGGAAAGGAGCCAGCTTCCTCTTATTAAACAGGCAAACAGGACCAGAGGGAAACCTGTCTTTAAAACACCAAGCACGTTCTGAGCTCCGTGTGCAGGGAAGGCTTTGGACGGCGACTTTAAGAGAAAAATGACATTCTCCATGACGCGCCTGTGATTTTAATTATAGTCAATTCAATTACCCAGTTTGTGGATTAACCACTGTCAGTGTTAACTCCATCCTGGCTTCTCCCTGCCTCCTAGAAATTCCATGCCGTGGCAGAAGGAATAACGTGCGGGCCAAAGAGAGACACAGGTGGGCCCCCCTTAAAAGAAGGAGAAAATTTAACCTTACAAGATGGAAAAACGCCTGCCAGACTCTGCAACTGGCAGGTCCTCTAGGGTATTTAGGGGTTATTCACAGATCAGCCAGGTGTCAGGGGAGAAGGCAACTCACAGCTACAGAGTTGGAAGCCTACTGATCAGTCAGAAATAAAATGTAACATCTGAGGGGATCCTGGAAGCAGGCGGTTGGCACTGGGCTGGGTTATATGGCAACCTCTCTGGAACGGCAGCATCACCCAGAACACAGTTCCCAACATGAATTGAGTCCCTGGTGTGTGCTCACCAGTACTAAAGGGTGTGGGGAGACAAGAGGACCAGTTCTAGTGCAGGACCAAACTGCACTGGCAGACCAAAGGGAGTGATCTTTAAGGAACAACAAGAGATACTCGAGTACCCAGAGGAAACTCTTACCTCTGAAGTCCCACAGCATCTAGCCCTGTCCTTGGTTCAAGTAGGGCCCAATAACAATTTGGTGAATGGATAGGAAAATCCAAAGTTGTCAGAACGGAGACCCAGGTGGGTGGAGGGGAGGCCAGGAGGGCTGGGGAGGAAAAGTAGAGATGATGCCACACTCTAGGGCTGTCAGTCTAGGATGATGGACATCTCTGCTTGCTGGGGCTAAGGGGATTCCTTAGTTACTCCATGACAATCTGAGCCTCATCCCTCCATTCTGAAAGAGGGTGGGGAAGGAGGTTATTTCATTCAAGTAATATACACCTTAAGATAAAAAATGGTGGGAATGAAGCCAGGCATTCAAGGAACACATCTTCCACCTCTCCATTACCCCTACCCCCCTATCTAGTTTGCTCCAGTACAGACCAGCCTGGCTGGGGGACAGAAATTCTCTTGCTCTCCTTCCATTGTACCTGCCCCAAGAATCCACCAGGCCAACAGCAAAGCCCCTCAGAGGAAATGGTTCATTAGGAGTTGCCATGGGGCATCCAAGATGAGGATAGCCCTGAGAGTCTCGCTCCTTCTGTCCCGCACTTGGTCCTTCCCTTCAGTGACAGCCACCAGCACGCTGGGAGCCATCAGAAGTCTGAGAGTGTACGCGTGTTTTGTAGGCTTAAGGACATTGCTAATTTACTTTAATCCACTTAAGCCTTCAAAGCCTTGGATCCCAGCTCAAACAAGACAGCACTGAGAAGACAGCTGCAAATTCTCCTCCCGGAGGCAGGAGCCAGCCCACAGCTGGGAATCCCACACTTCCCAGCCGCCCCAGCCTCCCCACCTTGCTAACCCCAACACCTATCCATACCACCCCTCCTATCCCCCAAATCCCATGCCAGCCTCGCACTCGGGCATTTGTTTTTCTGCTCTGGTTTCCATCTCTGCCCTCTCGATTAGCTGTGTGGAATCCTGAGGACGGCTCCTCACCCTCCTGCCCGTGGCACCTAGAAGGTGGAGCCCCGATCGCTCTGCCACGGGGAGTAGAAAGAGCATTGGGTGCCCAACGTGAAGGCCTGCCTCTGACAAGTCTCTCCCACTCTCTACACCTCAGCCCTCCCATTTGTAAAGGGAGGTGACAGTCCTTGCCTTGCCTCCTTGCCAGGGTACTTGTGATGAGGAAATAGGGCAGGTGTCTATCAGACTTAAGAACCTGGGGACCTCTGAAGCTACATCCGCAGATTCCAGTGTGAGCTGCCATGCAGGTGACGGATTCGGAAGTGCTGATGTGGCACCACCAGGGAGCCCCAAACTGGCCAACAGGTCATGGGAGAACATCCCGCATGTTCTGGTATTTATGTTTTGTTTTGGTTTTTGATTATCATCGACTGTATGTATTAATTTTAGAAACCCTTATTGAGAATTTATAGGCCTCTCAGAATACGCCCAGTGAGTCACAAATCCCAGTTTGGGAAACACTTTAACAGGACACTCTCATGCCCTCCCTTGACAGACAGACGGAGTTATCAGTCACCAAGGACCCGTTTCCCTGTGGGTTCCCAGGGCCCTGAAGACAGGCATCTGCAACTGTCTTAGAGCAGAAGGAAGCCTTCCAGAGATCTCCAGGCACCTCCTAAGGAGTGAGTCATCTTCATTCTGGCCCCCCAACGAAGCTAAGAAATACTCATGCTTCCAGAAGAGCTAGAGCTGAGATGGCCAATGAACCCCTGTCCACTCTACCCAAAGTACCCGCAACCCCTCCTCCTAGCAGGAATGCCAGAGCAAGGCACCCTCCTCCTCCAGGTAAACATGGATGGAAGGCTTAAATAAATTGGAGACCAAAATCAGACCCCTCCAGCCCAGGGCTACTCATCCTTCTAACATTTATCCCTAGGGGAACATCCCAGGACTTCCAACATCAAAGAGACCCTGCTGAGTTCAGACCTAAGTCCTTCAAGGCACAGCCATTGCAAAAAGGACTGAGTGGGAAGTGGCTCTCACCTGCAAAGGCCACAGTGGGGTGTTCCCTCAGGGTGCACAGCTGCTGCTCACTGCTAGGTTCAGTGACGACATCCTGGGAGCTGGACAGGTGGAACACCAGCAGTGTGAGGCTGGGCGGCAACAGGGTGACAGCCAGGGGTCCCAGGAACACCATCGTTGGGCCCCTCTGCAGTCCTAGCTCCGGAGGCAGGCAGGTAAGGTCTGCAATACAAACATTGACTCTCATCATGAGCTCCCTCAGCAAGGCCCACTTCTCCCAGTTTCCTCCATGGTTGTTGGCAGGCCCACGGGCTGTGTTTGCTTGTTTAAATACATTTACATTTTACCTATGTTACTTATAGTTTAGTCTGCTCTAGTAACACAGAGTTATAGATCATATCTGGAGAGCTAATTTCCCTTGCAATGGTATTCTGGATAAAACTGACAAATTATAGAGCTTTTTCTATTATGATCCCAAATGGTGTAAAATTAGTTTTAATGATAAAGGTGGTATCTAGGGAGCTTAATAAGTGGAGCTAGGACACGTGGGTAGCCATTTGTAAAAAGATAAATTTGGATCCATAACCTACACCTTGTACTAGGAAAAATTCCAACTGGATAAAAGATTTAGGTGTTAAGAATAAAACCATAAAAATACTAGAGGAAAATGCGGGCAGAATTCTTTATAATTTTGGAATAAAGAACCGGGACTCAAAATCCAGAAGCTATTAAAGAAAAGATTGACATATTTAACTACATAAAACTTCAAACTTCTGCATGCCCCCCCACCCCGAGCAAACACCAAACAAAATCAAAAGGCAAATGACAAACTGGAAAAAAATATTTGCATTACATATCACAGACAAGGGGCTAATATTCCTAATGTATAAATAATTCCTGGGAATCAAGAGGAAAAAGGTCAATAATACAGTACAAAATAGGCAAAGAATATATGTACAAATAGGGCTTAAAGATATGAAAGACACTGGAGCACCTGGGTGGCTCAGTTGTTATGTATCCGACTCTTTTTTTTTTTTGTAACATTTATTTATTTTTGAGAGAGAGAGACACAGTGTGAGTGGGGGAGAGGCAGAGAGAAGGAGACACAGAATCCGAGGCAGGCTCCAGGCTCTGAGCTGCCAACACAGAGCCCAACGAGGGGCTCGAACCCACAAACCACGAGATCATGACCTGAGTTGAAGTCAGACACTCAAGGCACTGAGCCACCCAGGTGCCTCAAGCATCTGACTCTTGATTTTAGCTCAGGTCATGATCTCAGAGTCATGAGATCTAGCCCTGCAGCCAGTTCGGTGTGGATGGAGCCTGCTTAAGATTCTCTCTGTCCCCCTCTCTCTGCCCCTCCACTGCTTGTGCATGTGTGCATGCGTTCTCTCTCTCTCTCTCTGTAAATAAATAAATAATTAATTAAGACGCTATTTTCACTCACAATAAGAACAATGCAGATTAAAACCTAGACTGAGCTACTACTGTTCACCTATGAGTTTAGCAAAATTCCAAGACAGATGACACTCTCGGCGAGGCTGTGGGGAAGGGGGCACTCTCATATACCATTGTGCAACAATGGTACAAGCCCTATGGAGAGGAATCTGGCAAAACGACAGAGGCATGTACCTTTTGATCTAATTTCTGGGAGTCTTAACCAGTGCTACTCAAAGTGCGGTCCGCAGATCAGTGTCAAATCCACAAACTGTGACAACTTTGTGGTAAGATAAATGCAGAAACTTGAGAGTGTTTAAAAATCTTTATAGTAATGTGACAGAGTAATTTTTATGTCTATTGGATCTAATAAAATTTGGAGGCTTGTATTTTTCATAGTTTTTTTGTCAATTCACTTCTCCAGTAATTCACTTTTATTGAATTTTATGTAAGTATCCATCTGCGACAGATTGTAAATTGAAATGTAAAACCTGCTCCTTCACCAGAGATAGTTGAGAAGCAAAAATAGACTAAACAGGCACCTGTACATGTGCCAGGTGATTTATGCACAAAATTACTCCTTGGGGGCATTCTTTGAAGTCACAGAAGACAGGAAACAACCAAACACCTAGCAACTGGAGACTGCTTGAATACGCGAGGGTGTATTTGTGTAACGGAATACTACACAGCTCTCGAAAAGAATGGGGATTTTTCCCTAGATTTCGATATGGAGAAATCTCCAGGTATAGTGACTGGAAAAAACCCGATGCAGAACAGGGTATTAGCTTGATACCTTTTGTGTAAAAAAGAAGGTGGAAATGAGAATACATATTTATAATTGCTGGTATGAGCATTAACAGACACTGGAAAAATAAACCCAAACTAATTTTAAATCAGGCTACCTATAAATAGCAAAATCATGACAGATGCTCCTTAATATATACCTTAAAAATTTTTTTTACATTTATTTATGTTTGAGAGACAGAGCACTAGTGGGGGATGAGGGGAGAGAGAGAGAGAGAGAGAGAGAGGGAGAGAGAGCAGGAGACACAGAATCCAAAGCAGGCTCCAAGCTCTGAGAGGTCAGCACAGAGCTCGATGCAGGGCTCAAACTCACAGACCATCAGATCATGACCTGAGCCAAAGTCGGACGCTTAATTGACTGAGCCACCCAGGTGTCCCAATATATACACCTTTTTATATTATTTTCACTTTTGACTATTAAATGTTTAATATCACCCATTCAATAAAAACCTCAAAAACTTTTTATTTTTTTTTAAGTTTATTTATTTTGAGGTGGGGAGTGGGGAAGAGAGTAGGAGAGGGGCAGAGAGAGAGGGAGCCAGAAAATCCCAAGTAGGCTTTGCGCTGTCAGCTCAGAGTCAGATTTGGGGCTCGAACTCACAAACCCAGACTAGTTTCGGTTCCCTAAAACTCCTAATATGGGGCAGCACAACACTTCCTCTGGAGCTTGACTCAGACACTCTGAATCAGCTCCCACCTCCCTCCTTTCCTGGCCCATCCAACGTGTCACCCACCAAGCCTTGTTGACATCACATCCCTCACAGGTCCCTAACCCACCGATAGACCTCCTTGGTGACAGTCGTCATCTGTGAAATAAAAGGTTGGACTAGATCAGGGATTCCCTGCTGGAGGTGGGGACAAATCAGAACCCCTTCCACTGGAGGTGGGGTCCTGGGACCAGCAGGTGAGTGATTCCAAAGATGACTGTGACAAACCTCTGCAGGGACTAGGGGCCCCTAGGGTTCCATTCCTCTTGAACACCCTTTGCTCCTAACCCCTCCTCTCTTCCTTTCCTACCACCACTACCTTACTCTAGGTCTGGAAAATGAGAGTAGGATGACTTCTTCTTGTCTGTTTCCTCACACCTGTGTGAGATGGGGTAACTCCTGTCATCGTGTTGCTGAGAGGCTTTGAGGAAATACCCCAGTGACTATGCGGACGGTGCACCTGGAAGTGCTTCCTTCTCCCTTACCTGGCCTCATCCTGCATCCCAGGGGGCCTTAGTCTCTGGAGCACCTCTTGGTCCCCTCAGCCTCAGGCTCAAATGTGGAATTCTCTGTCCCTCCCCGGGAGAGGTTGGACACCCCTGCTAGTGGAAACCCTCTGGGAGGGAGCTTTGGCCCAGACATCCTCCCTGGAGTGACTTTCACGTGGCCGCTCACGTGGCATTATTCCTGAGAGCTAAACTGGGTCTTTCCTGCTGCATGGGGCTGGCACTGCTATGGAATTTCCTCTTGCCCTTTGACACTTGTGCTGGATGCTTTCTATTTGTCCCTCTACTCTGCCCCTCCTCCGTGCTCAGTGCCTGGGCTGCAACAGGGGACTCCTTCCCTCTGTTTGGCCAGTGGGGACACTGGCGGAAGATGGGAGGAATGGGAGAGAGAGGAGGCAGCTGGGTGAGCAGCCGCATCCCCCCACAGAAGGTCAGAGTTAAGCTCCCCCCTCCTCTCTTTGCCTGGGGTGGTGCCAGCCCCTCATTATCGGCGGCAGGGTAGAGCCCAGTGAGCAGTCCCATATGGCTCCCAAACCCCTTCCCACACCTTCGTAAATAGTTCCTTTATTAAACTGCCCTCCCATTTCCCAGTTTGAGTGTGCCATCTGTTTCGGGGGGGGGGGGACCCTGACTGATATAACATCTCATTGGTGATATTTGATGCCTATGCAAATATCATCTTTTTAGACCTTAGCTGGGGCTTTTCCTCCATCGGCCATCAGCCCTTCATCTGAGGCGGTGTGACAGCCACCCTCCCCTCATTATTCCCAAGCCTCCCCTGGCCCCTGCCTCCCCCAGGAGCCAGGCCTTAAAGTACCTAATTTCCACAGCAGAAGCTCCACTCGCATTATGGTTTTTATGTAAATATGTCCTCCAAGTCCCTCCGGAATCAATAATTACTAGATTACCATCACCTGGTCCACCTGGGCCCCAGCACAGCATGCCTGCTCTTTAAGGAGAAGGGAAGGGAAGGGAACACAGCATGTGGATGGGGGTGGGGAAGGACTGGGGGCAGGACCTAGATCCAGATCTGCTCCACTCAGGTGAGGGAGGGGAAAGGAATAGAGAGCCAGAGCAGTGGATGGACATGTACACAGCACACCGACCAGAAAGCCCCCAGAGAGAGACAGACTGAAGGCTAAGCAGGGAGGAGATAGGAACAGCCTTTATTCAGATGAGCATTCCAGTCCTTAGGGATGCAAGTATGGGCCAAGGGGCTGACTTCGGGGATCCCACGGGGGCACACGCACAGGCCTATTTTGCCATCACCTTCAAGGACGCCTTCTGTCCTTAGTAAGGAAGCCAGTAGACCCTAAGAGGGGTACAAAGGAAGGAGAGAAGCAGGGCACCGAGGAGTGGGGCTGGGGTGTGGGGTGCTGGTGGTCAAGGCAGAGCTCGATGAGCCAGGGCTTGCGGCTTAGCAAATGTCAACAAAAGTCAAGGGCGCCATACTGAAAAAAAAGGGAATGGTCAATCCCCACATCACTGAGTGTTACAGGACTGGTCTTTGTGAGCAGAGTTCTAGATACTTGGGTGGGGGGTGAATTTCTAGCTCCCGAGAATCCCCCTTCTTTGGAAATTATCTCCCCCCTCCCTCCACAGGTCAAAGGGGTAGGCCCCCGCAGCCTTACATATGCCTATCCCCACTCCACCATAGCTGCGTGCGCCAAGGATAGTCATGTCAAAACAGACCAATCGGATGTTCTCTCATGGCAATTTGGGGCTGTAACCCCCATCCAACCCCCAGGGTCAAGTCAAGTCAGTGTTT